TATTTCTGAAACTCTTTTACGATATGGAGTGCACATTTTTTCAGGCTGAAGAAATAAATGACCTTGACCAAATTAAATCTTTTAACTAATTTCTAAAATAAAATAAATCAAAAAGCTACATAGATATCTGAGAACATCTAATAAAATGGAANAAAGAAAAAAACNTTAAAAATCTTATAATTTGGGACAGAGGGAGTATTAAAAATCCATAATGTTTCGATATTGTATTGAAAGTCACATTGAAACAAGAAGAGGTGACGTTTCCAAGGAGAAATGAAAGCGTTGACCCCAAGATGCCAAAGTTTGACTTCACTTTCTCCTTTCTCTCTCTTTGCTTCATCGATACTCCTATTTCCTTTCTCTTCATGAAACTCCCATTTCTCTATACAGCATTTATGATCTATCCAGCCGCATCTTTTTTATTTAATTATATAGCAAAGTCAAATATAGTATGAAATATCTTAGTATTGTAATAATTATCTATATGAGTTTTTTTTATATAGCAGAAAAGAACATTTTGGTTAACTCTTCACATCTTCGAGAGAGAAGAAAAGAAATGATGAAGAAAAAAAGTAAAGTGTTGATGATATTCTTCTTCTTCACTCTAGTTTTGCTTTTAAAAATGGCTTCAAGTGTTATTTCAACAGAAGATGGTTTTGCTCCTCCTCCTATACCATCTCCTTCCACTCACGTAAGTTCCTCAATACACTCATTATCTTTTCTTTTTCTTTAATGTGGCTAAAACGTTTTGATATTATTTGCTACTATCATGAATTATATAATATGGTTTGAGATTGTCAAACTATCTTTGTAATCATATCTATTTTCACTTGAGTTCACAATAGATCTGATTAGTCAAAAGTTTAGATCAGAAAAACGTATTATTTTACTTCTTCGACCTCAACATAATACTTAGGGCTACTATATGGTTTAGAGGAACCGTATAGATCAAATACAATATTTGAGTCGAAAAAATTATATATTCGTAGTGACTAGTATGTTAGATAGATATCGAACTATAAAAGCCGAAACACTTAGCTGAACACAATTTATATGTTGAATAATCACGGAATGTTTTTGTGTTTATACTAAAAATGTTATCAAGAATTGGTTTGAGCATATATATGGTGGTTATATCAGCCTTTTCGAATACTGAATTTCATTGAAATATATAAATGAATAATCTAGAGTGATTCCTCAGCTCTAGTTTTAATTTTTGGTGGACCTAGAGAGCAAGAAGCAGGAAAGGTGATGGAGATGGAGTAGAGTGCAAGAATTCAGACAGTGAAGAAGAATGCCTTCTTAAGAAAACAGTAGCTGCTCACACCGATTACATCTATACACAAGACCTAAACCTATCTCCTTGAAACAAAGAAAGAACACTAATTACTTTATCTTTTATTTAAGTCAAAGCTATAAGAAGAAGAAGCAAAGTCTCCTTGACCATGTGATGATCATGACTTCATGTTGTTTCTTCTTTTATTATAATCTTCGTTTGATTTCTATCAATGTCAACTTATTTTTTTTTATCCTATGAGTTAGAGACAATATCAAGTTTAATTGTGATAGAAGACAGAAGAAAAAGTTTAATTGGGCTTTTGTCTAATTGGGATAGGCCCATATAGAGGCTTATAAGTTAGTCACCCATTCATGAAAAAACATGCAAAAGTTTAAAAAGAAAGAGAATACAAAAGAAGTTAATTTAGTCACCCATTCATGAAAAAACATGCAAAAGGTTAAATAGAAAGAGAATACAAAAGAAGTTAATACGGTGTGGTATGGTAGAATAGATTGCATAGAAACAAAAACGGATACGTGAAAACGAAATATTTGGAAACGTGGAAACGATTTTTTAAAAAAATGTAGGAAACGGATACGTTTTGGAAACGCGCACAC